CTCGTGATGCAAGCGGAAATACCCACGTGCCGCGATGTGAAACGGGAAAAAATTTATCTGCAAAATAGGTAGTACAATCGAAACTGTTGTTAACGTATTCCTTTCGCGATTGTCGACTAGAAATAGCTTTATGGCCGGGACGTTACTTCCGATCGAAACGATACATATATATCTGTCATTACTTTCGCATCTGAAATGCAATATATACGTATACGTGTGATTACATTGTGAAAAAGAAAAAAAAAAGAATTCATGTTCTCGTCGTTGTTTGCGCGAAAAATAAGTTTTTAACAATTTCTTGCCGTGATCCTCTTGCGCCAATAATTTATAATAACACAGTTAGACACCTCTTTTCTAAGATTTTTCTTGCAATTCGTGATTTCTTTTTCTTGTTTAAAAGTTTATTACAACAAACAAAAGAAAAAAAAGTTTACTCGAGATTCTTTCTACTCTTTGCAACAAAGTCAACGAAAACATTTCTAATCTTATTCTACGATCTGCATTATTGAGGTCTGAAGGGAGTTAACGTGTTTACTATGGGATAAGGTACGTTTAGGCGCATTAAAATTCTACGAGTGGAACGTGTAATCGAAATGTTTTAACCGTACAGAGTTAAAAGAAAGAATTTTAAAGAGATTGGAAGTACACGCCTATTTTCTGCCACTTCTTTTAAATTGCCTATAATTATCTTTCAATACAAGACCGATGAAACTATTAAACTTTTAAACACACGTGGCCACTCGCCCGAACGCGTAAACAAACGTTCGTTCCGCTTCTCGATTTACGATCGCAGATCTTCGTAAAATATTTCCTTCGATATTCAATCTCGATCAACTTTTCTTCGCGCGAATAAATCAATCGAACGTTTCCATACGTATATAGAATGCAAAACAAAAATTCAAACAAGATTCAGAGAAACGAAAAAATCTCTCAACACTTGCATACGTACACCCTTCATTCATACGTTTCCACCCCGACGAAACGTCGCCCTAACAATTTATAATACTCCCACTCCCCACCCCACCCCATTAATCTCGTCACCTGTCCGCCTGATACCGATCGACACGTCGCCTTGAAAAGTCATCATCCATCTTACCATGATCGTCGATCAAACGGGACGACGAAACTCGCGCGTTTAAGCTCGATGCGCGAGGGTATCACCTGCGTGTTCCTCCTCTATGCAGCAGAACAACAGCAGAAGCAGCGGCGGCGATGCCGTAATAACGCCGTCACGCTCGTGCCAGAACCAAAGTATACGCTCGGTGTACACGACCTAAATAAGATGCGATGCCCCCCGGGGCGAAAGTAATTCACAGACACACACACGCGTGCACCGGGGATACACACGCACACACACACACACGTACGTGGTTACACCGGCTCGGGCTATAGTTTACGAACTGCCGCAGGAACGCTTTAGCGTAGAACGCGACCCGCGTTTTTCGAGAAATAGAATACGAAATAGAATCAATAAGATAATTGATTTATAGATGAACGATACGATTGGATAAGTTTTAATCTCGAGATCGAACATCGTACTTTTTAATTTCAGTGTGAAAATAATTTTGATGATTGTGTTTATGTATTTCTGATTCAGAGATATATATATACGCGTTTGGATATATATCGAGTCGCATGGCAATTAGCCGATGAGAAATGATTACATTGATTAGGTATCGTAATCGTTGGTTTATCTTATCGATGTCAGTTTTTGAAAATGCCTCGTGGAGAATAGGTTTGGAAATGCTTCGATAATAAGATCAGATAATAATGGGTGCATTGTACGTTTTGTCGGAGATACGAAGTTGTAGATTCATACAAAGTCCCTACTGCGAAATTACAGGCTTAACGAAGATCAATCGCGAATTTACGCGTTACCGCGAAACAGGCATGCTAACCGCGCGATAATGCATAAAGCATAGAAATCGGAGGATCGTTGGAAATCGACGATGTAGAGATCGATCGATCTGTTATCATTGATCGGTCTCGTGATCGATGTTTCGATGCGGAAAATTTTCGTTCGAAGGTGGATAATTAGACATCGAGGGAATAAATTTAATTCCAGAGCGGTGAATCGTTCACGGAATTAAAAGTGTTTCCTCCGCCACGGTGAAAAGAAACCGTAGAAAATATTCAAGTGGCGAAGCTACAAAAAGAAAGTGAAAGCGTTGTATCGGCCGATATAAACCGATCGATATTTCGCGAAAAGGAATAAGCCACGAGGGCTCGACTGAAAACTATATCATCTCGAAAGAATTGCACGTTGGACAATCAGGCGGATAAGCAAAGATAAAAACTACGTACGATATATACCGTATCTATATCGGATCGTAACACGGAGAGTTATTCGTAAAAACTCGTGCGCATTGAGTCGCGAAAGGGGTTAACGGTTCATTATCACCCCATTTCATCGATAGAGGCGTTGCACACCGTCACGGAACTCGAGCAACAACACTCGGCCGAGGGAATGTATAGCGGAGGGATAGAGCGGTGTACAGATGTGTATCACCGTGTGCACACGCTATATAGATATATACGTATACACGCGATACAAACGTGCATGTTGGACGGGACGCGTGGCGAACGAGGAGACCCGCTAGCCGCGTAGAATAGAGCGAGAAAAGGGGGAAGAAGAGCGTGTGCGGAGGAGAGGGAAAGAAGGAACGAGGAGTGCATCGAGTCAGTGGGCTAGTGGGGCCGGCAGAATGTAGCCCGTACTACGGTACACTGTCTCCCTCTTTATCTCTCCCTCGTTCCTTCCGTTCTTCCTTCCTTCCTTCCTTCTTTCCCACCGTGCCCACTCTCTTTCTCTACCTATCCTCCTTTGTCCGACGTACCGTGCCTATGCCTCGTCCTTCTCTCCTCTTTACCCGTGCAAATCGTATATAATAGCGGGTTCGCTATTCGCTTGTTGTGTAGGTCGCGTGCAACGGGCTTCTCTTTATTTCGAACACTACGTATAAACGCGTGTACGTGTTATATACGTCCAAAATCGTACGTGTACGAACGAAATATATATATATATATATATATATTCGAATCGTACACAAGAATGTATATATGGTGTTTTTCCTTTTTTGCCCGATTATACAATGATACCGACTGCGTGCCAGTGTCCACGGGATTAGCGTGTCGGCGTGTTTACCCGTGCACTAAATATAGTAGCGATACGGTTCATTAGTGAACTCCGGTGTGCACCGGTCGTCGTCGTATTTACGTACATACGCGGTACGCACATAAGGGAGTCGCGATTTTTTTTTTCTTTTTTTTTTTGCGCGCGCTTTCGTCGCAGTTATTGCGTAACGTACGTGGCCGTATACATCGAGCCACACACGTGCACATCCCTGTTCGCGCACGAATCACGGTGACACAGTTCATTACACGGGCTCACTGTGTCGCCTATGTATATGTATAAGTGTATATACTCGGCTCCACCGTACCAGCGCGACGTAAATGACGAACACCTTGCATGTACAGAGACCTCTTCCCTCTCTCTCTCTCCCTCTTTCTTTCTCTTTCTGATGTATATACCGTCCATATACAGGTGCACACAAAAAAATCGCACGTACAGAGTGGTTTGAAATTCGCGATATAACTGGAATAGGGGAAAAATTGTTTATGTAATAGGAAACTATAGTTTTTCAATATAATTGCGAACTATTATATTCAATTATTATCTGTACTATAGGAAAGAGATAAAAGAGAGGATTAAAGGATAGCAAAAAAATTGTCTACTTTATCCTGGATTTATATGAAATCTCGCTTTTAATCTATCTTTTAATGCAACGAATAATAGAAGTCAAGAAGGCGCGTTCATTCGTAGAAAAGGATAGTTAAAGCGATACTTATTAGAATCGTAATTTTGATATACGCGTTCCTTTGGTGACGAGTCCACCCTGTATATCGGATGACTTGTATACACCCTGGTGCACATTTATTCTCGTTACATGCACAGAGATGTGTACATAGCGAGTGGAGTCGCGAGTGTGGGCACATCACCGCGACGCTTCCTTCCACGGTGGATCCCACCCTGCCCTAGAGAGGCATGGGCAATGTAAAGCGGCATGAAAGCACGGAATAGGCTTTATGTCGGTGGATGTGCTCTCCCAACCTGTCTCTGTATGTGTATATATGTATATGTATACATATTCATATACACGTCTCTGCGTGTGTGAACGTGTGGACGAGTATATAGGTGGGTGGGTGGATAGGCAAGGCAAGGCAGGCTCGGCTGGTGGTCGCTCGGTTGCGAGGTTCGCTCGATAGCAAAGTGCGGTTCCCCTCGACACGAGCTCCTCTCGTACTTGCAACGCGGCAGGATTAAAGGGGAACAGCCCGTGTACGGAAATGCAACGATCGATGCGCACATGTCTGAATTTTCGTGTCAAATCGTGACCGATCGACCACGTTCTGCGGTTATGCGACTTGGGGCTGTTTCATCCCCGGCAATTCCATTCTTTACTTTTCGCGATTTCCAGGCAAGTTTTTTCATTCTTCTTCTTTCTTTTTTTTTTTTTTATCGGCAGCAAACCATTCGACGAATTCTATTCTATACCTTTCCTCGAAATTTTCATGGCAGCTCTCTTCTTTCCGATCCTTTATTTGTTTCAGAATTTTTATATTTCTTCGTGAAAGTTAGAATTAAATTTTCATGCGATTTCAAAAAACATTTCTCTGCACACTCTGAATCATCGGACGGTAGATGGTGTTGATTTATGTAATAGGAATAAATACGAAGGACAAGTGTAGCAGCTTTTCCTTTTCTATTTCTATGCTCTTAATGGGATGCAACGTGTTAATTAAATTCGCGATTTAACGGGTGTCGGGCGTTGGTGCACGACGCAGACAAGTGCACGTAGCATATGCGAATAGATGAACACGTCAACGTGTCGAACACGATACCCTCGTCTCGAAACACGTGCGTGTCGCCTCTGGTTTATCCTATCCTCTTACACCTCTCACTTCTCTTCTCGCGTGACTCTCTTTTTACATCTTACGTACTACACGTGGCTCGTGTAATTGTTATCTCTCCCTGTGCCCCTGCATCACGCGATTACTCCCCCCGTTCTTCCTCGTTCGTGCTTTCCTCCCGCACCAGGGTATATTTTCGAAACTGGGGAAGGGTAAGCGGTCGAGAGAAAGAAATGGAAGAAAGTATATACATAAAGTATATATTATAAGATAGCCTCGAATTTTAATTGTAACGCAAATACTTAGGAAACTTGAAATTTCATAGAAAATTCTTTCTATAAAATAAAACTTTCTCTCTCTTCCACAATCCACTCCTAGAGAAGGAATTTTATTGAAAATTTATTTTATATTATCCTCTCGACTCGCGACCCCCCCTCCCCCCCCTTATAAATCTAAATCTTTTTTCGTCGAAATCGAGCGCGAAATCCTCCCCCGATTCGAGAAGCAGTATCGAGAAGCGAAACGGCGATGAAACGAGGGATCGATTTGATGCAAGATGCTGACGAGACTGTTTGCAGATCTTGGAGACGCCTGTGGCGCCATGTCACGCGAGGTGCCGGCAACGAAAGCGGCAAAGAAAGCAAGGGGCACGATCGTAACGTGGACGACAACGAGTCGGCACGGTGTTCTTCGGCTTCGCGGCGATTAAGGCCTGGGCCGGCCGATCGGTGGGACGTTCATTAGCCAAGGTGCTGACTATACTAATAACAGTAGAGAGGTGATACGCGGTAAACCGTGTCACGCAGTGGCGTAGGTCGAGTCGGGGTGGCGTGGAGGAGGAGGAAGAGGAGGTGGAGACGGAAGTGGACGATGACGATGGACACGGTGTTAACGTAATACCGGTGAAAAGAGAGGAGAGAGGACGCGTTTTGTTGTTGCTGTTGTTGTTGCTCGTACGCTTGATGATCGGTTCGCGATACCGAAAGTGATACATCTCTATATATTTATCTATAATAATAATAATAATAATAATAATAATATTAATAATAATAATAATAACAATAATAATAATAATAGTAACAGTGTATATTAAAAAAGAAGAAAAAGAAGAAGAAGAAGAAGGAAGAAGAGGGGGTTTCAACAGTCAGTGCCGTTTGTTAAGTGCGTATAAAGAAATATCGAGCTTAGTAATTAAATCGGTAGGGAAGTAGCAAAAGAGTGTAATTAGCGGGAAAAAGAGAGAGAGAGAGAGAGAGAGAGAGTTAATTTTCTTAACGATCATTCGACATCGATTCGACAATATAATATTTAACGACGACGAAGCAACTTATTAGCTCGGCAAGCACCGGTCGACAAGAGTTAAAGAAAAAAAAAAAAAAAAAAAAAGAAGAGAAATAACACATAATAATCGCGAACAAAAAAGTCGAAAGTTCTGGGTATCCAAGGAAAGAAAAAAAGATATCCTAGCCTAGTAATTATTAATAATAACAGTGGTGGTGCATCACGATACAACAAAGCGCGATATAAAATAATAATAAATCAAGGGAGAATCGACGATAGGAGACACAAGATTTCGAGTGATACATGGACCGAGATAATATTATTCCGTGCGAACACGTGGAAACACCGGTCGGAACATCCGTGGAAATAGCCGTCGAGCTCGACGAAGGCGTCCTCCGTTCGAGTGGCGTCGCGGAGCGCCGCAGCGGATGTTACGCCGGGCTTGGAAAGGGCGCCGGGTGATCTACGGTAGTAGCAGCCTGGAAGTGACTAAAGGCCATCACCACGGCGTTCAACATGTTCGAGATGTGGAGCGCGGTGAGTTCCAAGTTGGAACACTCCGCGACCTCCTCGGGCTCGCCGTTACCTTTGACCTCGCACGCACCGCAGACGCCCCATACCTCGTCCGGGAGCATAAAAGGTAACGAAAAAGCTCCGTTATGCTTTCTATCTGTGTGTCTATATAATAATAATAATAGTAATAATAATGATAATAATAATACGTGTGCTCTTGCGTACGTGTGTGTGTGTGTGTATGCGCGTAAGTATGTCGTATATAGAAACGTTACGTTCCCACGACGACGATTGTATACGCGATCTTCGAAGGAAAAAGAATCACGCGTGTACGGCTCGTGATGGCCTAACGTGAATTTTCTAATTCCGCTCGTGTCGGAGAACCGTTGCACGGGGCCGAGCGGAATTGCCGTGAACCGAGTTTACATAACGTCCTTTTCAAGAATAATACGCTCCTGCGTAGCACCTCAGCTTGTTCCCTGGCTACTGTGTGTACACAAGAAGATACGCGTGTGTGCGTGGTTTCTTTCTTTCTTTTTTTTTTTTTTTTTCTTCTTATTTCTTCTCGTTTCTAAATAGAGAGAATTCTAAATTAGAGATTAACTCGAGGAATCGACGACGTGGTTTATTGGCACTGTGTGGTTTTTGTCTCGAGATAAGGGAATTGCGTTTGTCTCCCCCTCTCCTTATTCCTTTTCTTTTTCGCGAAATTTTTAGATATAAATATAAATAACGAAGTTTTAAAGCGTTACAGTAAAAATATTTCAAATTTTTCATATTTCGTTGCTCGACTCCGTTGTCGTTCGAGAATCCACCACGATAAACTCGTAACGCACTTACGTAACGCACTTTTCGCACGTTCAAAGTTCGCGAACCTGCAGAATTTGCAGCGAGTGGAGGAGGGATTCGTTGATTCCGCGCGCGTCCGACCGTTCACTTTACACGTGGGTTTTACTGGCAGTAGATTAGACGATTCGTCGCCAGACACCGAAAATCCACGCTTAACTTTAACGACGCTCCTTAACGATCGCTAACTCGAAAGGTAAATTTTAGCTTGGATGACGTTCAAAGATAGAGAAAAAAAAAAAAAAAAAAAAAAGAAAGGAAGAAGAAAAAAAGAGAGAATCGTGGAAAGGAAAAGGAGAAGAGATGAAATATTCTTATTAATTCGTATTCGCGTTCGCGCGAATCCCATTCGCCGCCGCTTTCATAATTTCAATACGAATCCAGCACTGCGAAAGTTTCGCGGTGAAATTTCGCAGAGCTGCTCTCCAACGGTGAAACATTGAAACGTCGTTTTACATTATTTACACGGTGCTTTCGTCCCGAGTTAATTTCATTACGCGGCTCGCGTCCGCCCGACCGGGTTACGTCATCGGGCAGCCGTTCGTTCGTGCCCATTTGAATTTCCCGCGTTTTTCTCGAAACCCGTCCGCCGCCACTTTAATAATGGCCGATAAACGGGGCCGAATCGTAAACAACGGAACGATGTTCGCCAATGATTATACGATCCTGTTATCGCGCAAGATTTGCGGGATTGATCTCGAACATCGGCCCTACGATTGATGCGGCACCAGCTCCCGGAATGATCGGGCAATCAGATAACGCCGATATACGTGCGCCCGTTAAATATGTATCGCAATTCACGCAAAGCACGGCCAACGATCGTTAACCAAAGATTTGCGGCGAATTACGATTTAGGTGAATAACGATGGGTATCGTATCGATTCGAATGATCTTGGGAGCAATTGAATCCCGGCTGATACTTGGCCTCTCCCTTATTTTCTTATTATTATATTTTTAATTAAGAGGAACACTTTTGTGAAAAATATGATAAACGAGTGAGAAGAAGAAGAGGAGGAATCTAGTTTCGTTCGATGGAGATTGATAACGTTTATTTAAAAAAAAAAGAAAAAAATTGGAAGGATTAAAGATTCTAGATTAGATCGTGGAATAAATAAAAGATTATATTGTCGCGTTTGTTGTACACTCTTTTAGATAGTTTCTATGGGAGGATCGTCGAAAAATGTTTATATTAAAGTTCATTGGTGAAAATATTCCGGACAAAAAGAGAGAGAGAGAGAGATACAGAAAAGGAAATCGTTTAGAAACCGGCAGCAAGGATACGCTGAAACGTTTCAAAATTGCTTTTACGACGTCGCGAATCGCGCACCGTGCCGAATACAAATACACACTGGAAAGCACAGATTCGTCAAGCGTGTCACACGAGTTTCTTTTTAAAAAATCGTCTCTGAAACATCGAATCATCCTCCTCTTTTTTTTTTCTTTTTTCTTTTTTTTTTTTTTCGCTTTCATAATATTCTTTGTGAAACAAAAATCAAGCCTTATTCCTTATCCCGAAAATCGTCGAAATAATTCAAAATAATCTCGATAATTTTTGTAAAAAAAAAAAAAAAAAAAAGAAAGAAAGATGCAAAAACTTAATTTCAATTTTAAATTCAAATTTAAAATAAACGCATAAGAAATACGAAGAAATTTCACTTCATTTGCAAACAATACTCGCACATTTCTAAATATAAAAATGTTTATACGACTCGCTTCCTTGTCCCATAATGAGGCAGAAAAATCGCGCACACTTCAGCCTGTTAATTAATTTAAAACAAGTTAAAAGGTTATTAACCTTTTAATCGAACAACCCCAAACAATCAAGCACTCGAAAGTTGATCGTTGATCAAACGATTCGGCTGCCAACCAACGATCGATGCTCACGCGCTTTTTGTCCTATCTGTCCAACTCGTTCCAATTACTCTCTACCAGCTGCGCCACTGGAGAAATACGAAAAGAAATGCGCTCGAAGAAAGAGATTATTATCTTGAGGCTACGCAGAAATCGCGTCGCAGGAGGCTGACCTCGCGAATTTCCGCGAATTTCCGTGGGAGGAGGAGCAGGGAGAGGGGGAGGGGAGGGGAGGGGAGGGGAACGGTCGGTTCGAAATAGCCAAAGGACGGTTTCAAAAGCAAGTGAACGAGTGTCGCGGAGAGTCATAGCCGTCCCGAATACGAATACACGGCGATCGAAACGCGGCGAGTAAATTATGCAAAGCGAAAGTACCCACGTAAGAGCGGGTTGCGCAAAAGGCCTCGTAAGAAGAACGCCCGTAACGTCGGCTCGTAATGTCGTCGGATTCGCGATGACGAGAAAACAAATTTCGCGCCGCTTCCAAATCGACCAAGATTCGGATTTCTCCGCCCATCTTGTACCGTTTCATCTGCTCGATCGAGTTGCTTCCTCGATAAAAAAAAGTCTAAAAAAGTGTTCAATCGAGACGAGAATTCTTAATTTTCGAATCAGGAACATTCGTATTGATTCGTTTTTTTTTTTTTTTACTCGAAATCGAACGCACTAATTTTAATTTAATTTTGTATTTTGATTATAAATTGGACTCGAAACTGATTAATCCGAAACTGATTAAGGTCTTTTCGACGATGTCGATCTTTTATGAAAAGAAGAGAGATATTTTGTTAATCAGAAATATAAGAAGAAAATATGATAGAAAAATATTTAATTGGCAACTTTTTCAAGAAATCATCAATGATAGTGATAGAGTTTGAGATTCATCCTTTCCTTGTTGAATAGGTCAGTTTTGTTGTTATAATAATTTTCATTATAGGTCAGACAAAATGTATATGGATAACGAAAATGAAAGATAGAGAAATTATCGGGAAATATTTACTAAACCGCTAAACTAAAAAATTAACATTTAACGAGCTTGGGGTCAAAGTATTTGCGGATATTTAAAAGTGAACTAAGTTCAATAAATTTCACGATAATCGGAGTAATAATAGCATATCAAAAATTACGAGAGAACGTGCTTAATTGTTTAAAAATATAACGTTACAAGTAATTGTTTATAAATATATAATTCGTGTAACGTGATAAGTGTAAGAAACTTGGTAAAATCGAAGGATAATATCGTTATAATTGATATGATTACAATTTATTCATTGTAACTAATATCATTTGAGAAAATTAGTTAATTTTTTCTATTCTTTTCCAGAGACATAAATTGTTTTTACCATCGTAATTATGATTATAACATTAGATAAAACGCTATAGAAATTGTATTACAGACCTAGATATATATACATTAATTATACCGTTACAAATTATTCTCAGGTGGCAATTATCGATGACACTTTGCCTGAACCCTTTAATTTTCGAAATTTATGAGGATTGAACGCACGCTACAGACGCATTACATTAATATCGTTGATACAATTTTCATATTTTTGGCACGCCATCACTGTAGTTATAGTATGATCGATTTTTTGGAATTTTTTACAAACAACTTGGTTTAAAGCGTAAAACCTGAAAAAGAGGAGAAGAAAATTACACGATTTGTGTAAAAAGAAAATTAAATAAAATTAGCACATCTGTTGAAAACCTATTCGATCGAACATTGTTGCATAGAAGATCGACAAACGCACAATTGTGCATCGATTTCGCAACTCTTGGTAACCTTTGACCCGAGTCAATAATTTTATGGCATTAGTCAGATCGTTGATGGTTAATAAAATCAAATAATCGCGCACTTTCTGCGTGTCGTTCGATTCGAGAGCTACAACCGATAACGATGACTTCAGACTCACGAGTCTCATCCAGAGAAGAAGAAGAAGAAGAAGAAGAAGAAGGAGAAGATATCTAATAACGATGGCTTATTAACGAAACGTAGTGAACGTTTTGGGAACGATGGTTCAGGAAATTAAGTAATTTCGTTGGTCGAAGGAATAAATTGCGTTGTTTCGCAACCAGCTCTTCAAAGAGGTTCCATTATATCGTCGCTATTACTTGTCACAGTAATTGTCGATCTCTCGCATCGCGTATCGATTGTGCTTCGTAGAACAAAGAAGCATGAAAATTCAAAATAATTCTTTTTTTCTTTCTTTCTTTCTTTTTTTTTTAAAAAAAAAAGAAAGATAATTCGAAAAAAAGAATATCCTCAACTTTCTCAAGAATTTTGCATTAATAATTAATGATTTAATTACGACATATTTCAAGATACATGGAAAATATTATCGATCAAATGTTTCATTGTAACATCGACAACAAAGTAATAGCGAAGTAAAACTGAGGATATCATCCATCCACTCTACTCTCAATTCGTAA